CCAAAGCAAGTACAGATAGCACCATACCTCCAGAAAATGACCCGGCTTTGGGATGCCATGGTCACAGCATCTACGGAGACAAGTCAAACACCAGGTGCCTGAAGGTCTCACACTGTTCAGCACAGCCCCTGTCTGCTGCATGATATATCCTCCCAGGCTGTCCTGCTTAAATAACTGAATGCAGCTAAGGAGTGGCGAGCCCAAGGAACTCTCAGGAATGAGGAAACTCTGAGCATCTCAACTCCCCCCACCCCCAGTGCAGTCATAAGCAGGGAGGCCTGGTTAGACACTGGGACAACAGGAGAGACCTCCTACACATCCGTTTAAAAAACAGATCTTATTTAAGGCAAAAAAATATTACAGCTTGTGGTTGGTAGCCAGCTAATCCTGGGATCTGAGTGCACAAGTGTCCCAGGAGATCTGCAGCTTATCCATCACTGAGGGGCTGTCCAGAGTCATAACAAGGACTAGCTCAGGTCTCCTTGCAAAAATCTCCAACCACTTTCTTGGCACTGGGCAGAGAGGTTCCACCTGAGGGTCCCCCTCTTGGCCCCATTTGCACTGTCAGTCTCCCCTCCTCTCTGTGTTGTGCTAAGAGGCTCCTATGGGCTCAGCAGTGCTCTCAGAGCCACTCAGGTTCGGCAGCAGCCCTTTTTCTGACTGCTGTTTAAGCCTACTGAACTCCTTCAGGCCAAACCACATCTCACCCTCCCCCGAGGCAAGTTCCTGCTGCTCTTAGGTCTGCCAGGGTGATGCACTTTGGAGCATGTAAAGGAAAGAAATTGGCACCTGCAAGGCCCTGCAGGTCTTTCCCTCTGAGCTTGGTCTCAGATGAGTCTGGGGGCAGGATGAGCAGCTCTTGGGCATAACATGTTGAGAAGGGCAGAGGGGTTGTGAAAGAGAAGGAAAGGCAACTCGCACCACCATGTTCAGTTTCCCGAAAGGGAACCTGCGTATTCTGACATCTACATCTGGACTGTGTTCTGGGAAGAATGGGAAAAAGGGGATTTTGACAGTCTGTAGTTATCTCCAGCAAGTTTGGATGGTTAGTGGGAGTGAACAGCTTTCCCATGCAGAGCTGAGGATACCCAGAGGACCTGGGAACAGTCCAGCACCTAAAAAAACCAAACTACTTTCTCTGCAGTAACAAGAGGTTAAAATCAAAACCAATCAATACTGGTCAGTGGTGATAACCAGAAAAAAAATCATCATTATTTGTCAGCATTCTGCTGATTATTAAGCCTCTCATAATTTAGCAGTACAGTACAAGAAGCTAAGAATAGCTCTAGGCCACAGTGGCCTGGTGGGAAATGCACATTAAGAAATATCCTGTTGCCCTCGGTGACACTTGATTAATGGCTGTGTTGACACCAGATTTACAGCTGCGTGTGCAGTAGGCAGACAAGGTGTCCCCTTTCTACTCCAGTTAACTCCAGGTCAGCCACAGCACACCCTATTGCACAGCCAACAATCAGATTACTTCTACATTGGAAAAACATGTCTGCTTCTTGGGCACAGGCAGCCCCAGCAGGACCAGGGCCAGTCCTGTTCCCCAGGGCAGCACCACATTAATTTTTGAGCAGCTCATGCTGGAGCCTACTCCTGTCTGTATGCCCATACTGCAAAAAAACCCCAAGAGGTGATCAGGATAGTTCCCAAAGAAACCAAGGGTCTGTGACTACATGATCTGCCCAGCTCCTACCAGTCTTGAATTTATTAGCAAATCCAGTCAAATGTGACAGCAGGATCTGGTCTGTGAGAGCTGGTGAACACCTGGGACACATCAGCTGCCTTCACTGAGGAGAAGGCAACAGCAGGCACAAGTGCTACCAGCTTTGCTGGGCCCAGCAGCTGGTGGTACCCTACAGAAGAGTTCCCCTGCTTATGGGAAGTTCACATCTTATTTAAGTGTCACTGGAATGCTGCAGGAGCTACTGGTGAAGGAGAAGATGGAGTTGTGGCAAGCTGACCAGCAGCCAAGTTTGGCAGTGTTCCACAGAGGTGTAGGCAGCCAGCAAGCTGAAAGAGATGAAAGCTTTTCTTGGGGTGTGACCCAAAATGAAGAACATCTTTCCAGCCTTATGACCCTACATCTGTAACAATGACATCATTGAGAGAGGGAACAAATGACAACACCAGTGATCTGGAAGGAGGAGAACTTGACATTGCCTTATTGGCAGTATCTGTCCTCAGCTTCACCCACCTGTGAAGGGGAGCTGGGAGCAGCAGCACTCAGAACAAGCCCTCACTTCACAAAAGAGGAAGGTGCTGAGCCACCCTGGGCTGCAAACACATGATGTCCTTCACACTGCATGTGGATCTGTCCTGACATGGCATTCCCATCAGGTGGTGCATCACTGTGAACCACCTTCTGCGGTGGGAAAAAGAAGTCCATCTGAGCCAGAATCTGCTCTGCTCCTGAGATCTTCTGGGACAAAATAGACACTGGTGGCACAAATGCAGTCGTGTCACCAGCGTGCTTTGCCTCTCAAAGGAGAGATACCTTAGCCTGACCCTGACTCTGGAAGCACCCTACATAGAGGCCTTCAGGCTCCAGGCATCCTTCCAGGTTTACCACAGTCTCTTGTTCTTCATGGTTTCTCTTCCAGCTACACTGTTTTCCCTATTAAGGGAGTAAATTCTCTTCTCTTGACTCCAAAAGCCCCTCCTCATGTTCATTTTTTTCCCCAAATTTTGGAGACAGGCAATTTTATCAAGAGCTTTTGTCCTGGGACAAGAAAAATATCAGTATCTATCAATGCAATCCTGTCAGCAGTGCATTCATGTCTGTCTTGAAAATACTTTTATTATCTCAAGGACCAGCTGGACAGAAATAACGTCATATAGCCCAGCAGACTAACTACACTTCCTAATGCACCCCCTGACCCAGATGTTTACCAAGACAGCACTGGAAGCCTATCTTGGGAATGAATGTTGGGGTCCAATATCAGACTCCAGCAGATTAGAAAGATGCATTCATTTGCAGGGTACTCTGAATTATAATGACTGAGGACAAAGGCTGCTGTCAAATAATGGGAGGACACTCCGGCCTAACCCCACCCCCCCTAAAGTGACTAAGGTCATTAAATGTCTTTTATCAAGATGTCCCCATTCAAGATTGCCCCCCGATCCAAGATATCCTCATGCACAACCAACACCAAGCACACTGTGGTAGCTGGCCAATACTTCCTAATCCCTGTGACCAACTGGGCCTTCAAGTCTAACAAGAAGAAAAAGTCAGTACCAGGGCCTGATCCCAGCTGTCCAAAAACTGCTCTGCCCATGTCAGATGGAGAGCTGCAGTTCCATGAAGGGTTTAAATTTCATTGGTGCAATTCTGACAAACAGCTTCTTGGAAAACATCAGCGACAGGGTGTGTAAGGGACACCTAACACAAAGAGGAAACACATTCCTCTGTCTGAGAAGACTAAGATGTTTTTAGTCAGAAATTGCATGTCTAGAAGGTAATGCTGTCCTTATGTGTTCCCTCTGCAAGACAGCATGGAGGCTCTGAGAAAACACAACACACCTAAGGGGTGGGTGGAAAGAATTAGAGATACAAAAAAATTAGGCATTTTGGTTTACATCACATTCTGCATTGAACACTGGCTCTGTAAATAGCAAGGATGAGAATGAGTTACTATTTGTTCCATTAATGGCTAACTCAAACTAAACTTTAGCTTTGAAATTTCAGACTAAGCAACCTTAAATTGCCTAACTTGGAGATTTAAACTGCCTAGCCTTCCCTGATTGTTTGGCAGGGAAACTTTCTGGATGATTAATGGAAAGCTACAAACAGCATTTGCATAAGGATATCTATCTCCTTTGGTGGGAAGAAGTTCCAAAAGTGGCTTTGTAAAAGGAACAAACAACAAATGAGAGACTTCTAAGGCAGAGCAAGCAGAGACAGTGCAGGTTTCTACTATTTACAAGCCAGCTGTCATAATGCAGAAGGCAAGACCCAGTCCTTGCTGTTGACAGTGGAGCAGCATTCCTCTCCCCGAGTGACCAACCTTTGTGTCCAGCTCCTCAGGCAGAATTAGGAGCCCCTAGCCACACACACCTACTGGCAGGTTACCCTCAGGGCAGTGGTGTACCCAGCTTCAGTGACAGAAATGTGTTTTGTAAAGGATGGTATTCAGAGTGTCTGCTTCACCCAGGCAAGCAGATGGCAGCAGGGTGGCAATTGCCCTTCCAGGGAAGTGCCTCTTCTTCCTCATCAGAGATGCCATTTCCCCAGCTATGGGCTGGTAAATGCCTTGCTAAGGTTGCACAAGCCAAATCCAGGAGTTTTCCTGTGTTCCATCTCCTGTGCTCCACTTCTGAACAGACAATTGCAAACTTGTGTCTGTGACTCCCACTGATGCTCAAACTGCCCCCAGATCTTCACTTGGTGAGTTGGGCACTGCCCTGGCTCCTCATCACCTCCAGCAGTACTGTGTCCCACATCATCTCCATGGAGAACAAACAGACCAGGTGAATGATACTCCCATTCCTGTTCCTATCAGTGCCAGGAGGTTTTCTGGACCCTCCTGCAGATACATTACTAACTCACCTTGCCTCTGCTTTGCAGCCAGGCTGTAATGAGACTACAGTATACTTGGAGAAAGTGTAGGAGTTGCAAACAAAGAGCAGCTCCCAGAAGCATTACTGTGCTATGTGCACACATCTGAGGCTGGAATCCAGATGCATATCCAACAGGGAGGCAGAAGCCATATTCAGGTTGCCAAGCCTTTCCAAGGCATGATGACAAACCCTTTGGAATGGGCCCCAATGAGCAGCTTTAAGCTCATCAAGAAGGACAGCAGAGGCTGCTGACCCTGCAGAACAGGACACATCTTGACCCTCCTGTGAGGTTACTGCTCAGAATGAGTTTCCCCTTAGAGCATGTCCTCACAGGCCACAAGTCCTCAGAAGTGTAGGCAGCAGTACAATTCCCAGAATTTGCTCCTGTTTGAGCACAAAATAACTGCATACACACCCCTTGGTGGAACATAAGGCACAGTTTTTATTTTCCCTCATCCCCCCTCTTTTAACTTACACCCAGCTGTTTGCTGGCAGCAAGGCTGTGCAGGGATCGATCATATGAATCCTCATGGATCATTTGTGCTCCTGGAGCAGCCAGCAGCAGTGCTCTGGACTCCCAGGAGCTCACCTGGCTGCTCAGAGTGCCACTGTCCTGAGCAAACTCCTCTGTGAGGTGTCGCTGGGTGGTCCCCACAAACACTCTGAGCTCTCCTTCACTTGTCCACAGCATGACCAGTGGTGGCAGCCAGGGTGACCTTTGTGTCCGTGGCCACAGCCTTGGTACCCACCTGCAAGAGAAGAGGCACTAGCAGCTCAACCCAAAGTGGGCCAGAAAATCCCAGTGTGTTATAGGCTTTGGCCCCAGGACTTCTCTAAAGTGTGCTGATTAGAACACAGTATATTCAAAGCCAAAATTGGCAGGACTCCATAAAGAAAGAACAACTCAACTCAACAGCTGGGGAAAGCTGATGCTTTTTGTCCCCTTGCCTATTGAACAAAGCAATACATGGGCATCCAGAACTCCATGCCAGCTGCTTGTGTCTATGGCCAAAGATACAGATCAAGCACAGAAAAAGGAAGAAGTCAATTCTATCCTGAAAACACACAAAACACATGATGACACATGCAGGTGAAGCACAGGGAAGATGGTTGGGATTAAACAAGGGAATTGAACTTTTGTCCCAAACATGGACAAAAGGAGGCCTCTCCAGAGTTGTGTGACACAGCCCACAAGCTCCCAACATGTCAGCACTGGAACAGGAACACTGCAGGTGCAGTGCTGCTCAGCCTCACTCAGAAGGGCTGAAAGGCTGAGGTGCCCTGCCGCACCTCTTGCACAGCTGGCTCAGGTCTCTGTCTATGGGATGTGCTGTAAAGCCCCTTCGTGTGTCCTGCTGCACTTCTCCCTGCTGCAGTCACCCCATCAGAATGTGGGTACACAGAGTTCACCACATTCCTGGTGCATGTCCAAGGTGGGAGTTGGGTGAGAATATCTCCTCACACCTCTATCCACTAGGGAGGACCTGGTGCAACAAATCCTCCTGATCCCAGCAGCGTGGGGAGAGCTGAGCACCCACCTGGCATGGTCCCACCACAGGCACAGCGAGCGGCTTTCTGGCCTCCGCTGGAGCAGAACGTGCAGCAGTGAAACACCCCCTGGTGCTCACGGAACTTGTGCTTCACCATCAGAGTGAAGGGAGAGCCCTGCAGAGGACAAGCAAACAGAGAGGCTGCTGCAAACAGAGAGGATGCTGTCAGATATGTCTGCATTCTCAGACACCATCTGGGTGACTCTGTCAGTCACAGATCACTAAGCACAGCCTTAAACTGCTACGTGGTAGAAGTAATCCTTAGACAGATTTGAAACAAATAGCTAAGAAAAGAAAAGTAGGGAAAGAAGAAGCAGTGCAAGAGAAACAAGAAATGCTACCTGCACATGTTGCCCTTTCACACAGACGCAGACAGCATACAAGCCTGGCTCCTCAGGGCTGTAGGAAATACAGTAGGTCCCATCACCATTATCACACACTGTTGGCTTGACTGCACTGTGAACAGTGGACAGAAACCCAAGAGGTCAGTGACTGGCAGAAAATTGCTTTAAATGTAAACCAGAGTTTGGCCTAGAGTGGCTTTCACACACCCCTGCTACTGGGAGCTGCAATTACCATACAAAGGAAGTCACACAAAGCCAGTTGCACTGCAAGGATTTGTAGCAACCTGCACAGCAAAAAGGCAGAAGATGACACACAGCACACTTACAACTCAGATTATCCCATCAGATAAGAGCCCACAAAAAGGGGGTAAATTCACAGCTTCATCAAGCAGTTGCCTACAGAAAAACCTATTAAGAAGACAGGATATAATAGGGTAGGTTTGAATCACTTTAACCCCTCTCCCAACTGCACTGACCCCAACTCTTCCCTTCAATGCTGAGGAGTTCTAGGTCCCTGCTGGTAAACTCTCCCTTTTCCTAGTGAAGCTCCTTGTGTTTCACAGGGAATTCTGGTGAACAGAGTGCTATAGAAAAAGCCTCAGCTGGTTACTGGAGGATAAATTGCCTGCTCCACAGGAAGATAAAAAGCTTTTCACAGACACTTATCAGGCAGCCCTGCATAGAGGAAGGTGTTCTTGCTAATCCCTACTAATTAGTCTCCCAGGCCCCATGACATGACAGGTTATAATCCGTATTCCCCACCCCCAACACTTCACACCAATACAGCTGCCTACATAATTTCCTGCCATGAACTGTGTGGTGATACTTCATGCTCTTCTGCAGCTGCTGTGCCTCAAAGCAAAGCCAGACAGCTTTCAGCAACCCATGTAGCAACTGCATACAGCCAAGAGCAAGAAACTGAGTTAATGTGGCTACAGCAATCTCTACCCCACCAAGAGAAATCCAGAAACCCCTCAGGCATGCACCTTCCTACATTATAGGTACACTTACGGAAAGAAGGTACATTGGAACAATACTCTTGGACAATGATGCTCTGTTGATATGCATCTGTGCAGCCAGCACTGCTTCTGTATGTTTTGTCAACATAGCAAAGGGTTTTAGCATTTTGTCCCTTTTTTCAGTCAGGTCATCCCATCATGAGTGTTCCTGGAATAAATTATTGCCGGCATCTGGTTCCAGCTACTATAAAACAACAGATGTTTTTCTTAAGAACTAACCCCCAACTGGGTTTGCTTTTGTGCCTGGCTACTCCTTAGTGACAAATGTGGTTTGGAAACAGTTATAATTTTTTTTCTGGTTGGTCATTTTCCTTGTGGAAACACTGAGGAGCTCAAGTGCAGCCTTTCCTGGTTTTGCTAGAAAACCTTCAAACATGTTACAGTACCCAATGCTTGCAACTACAGGAAAAAGGATGAAAGCACAACACAGATTCTTCCTCCAGAACATGAAGAAGGCACTTCCATCAGCTGTCAGAGGCTCATGGTGCTGTCTGACTTGTGACTGTCATACAGGGGTTCCAATGACTTACGGATTAGGTGTTAACAAAAGCAGGAGCCCCAGGTGTCTGCTGGGAGGAGTGAGAAGGAACAACAGCTCCCTCTGCCTAGCAACACACACAAGGAGTTGAATCCTTTAAGAAGCTCAAATCACTCAAAGACTTAATACAAATCTCAGCAATCACTGTCCAGCCAAACACAACCACTAGGAAGCAGTGTGGGAGAAAGAGTAATGCCTTTTCCTCTACAGATTCTGACCCACATGCTGAAGCACACCCTCCCACCCGCTTAAGCAAGCGGGGAGCCAGGATAAGGGAGGCAGAAAGACTAAGCCAGGGATTTCCTGGGTGAGGTACCCACCAGTCCCTCTTGTCCTTGTGGGTGATGGTGACCCGCACAGCCTCTCCTCCCCGCCCCATGCGCTCCCCTGTAGTGTCCTTGCACAGCAGGGTAAAGCCACTCAGCTGGTTCTGACGGGCACTGTGGAGATCTGGGGAAAAAACAAACACCAAACCAGAAAGAAACAGAACTACAAAGGATTCCAGTCAAGCCATGACTGCCACCTCCCACCTATTTAGCAGAGTTGCAGCCCCATCAGAGCACAGCCAGGACTTTGCTTCCAGGGTTTACAGCTCCTTCACTCACAGGGAATAGTCAACATAGGACTGGGTACCAGGAAAGAGTGGAAGACAGGTTCTGAGAGATGTCTGGCAGGTTTAGCCCAGAGATCTGTACAGACCACGGGGGTCTTTTTGCCTGTCACTCTAAGCCCAGCTGACACTTTCCCAGGTCTCAAGATGCACCATGCAACACAGAGGAAGAAGAAACAGCACCCCACCGTGCCCCAGAGAACTCAACACCCACAGTTTGGCACAGAAGGGATTGAACAAGCTCTGGGTCTGTCTCATTTGCCCTGCACAGGCCATTACTGACCAGAGCTGGCTGTGCTATGTGAGATGGTCTGAACATTATCTGTTTGCTGGCTCAGCTCCAAGTCCTTAGTGAGCAAATATCTATAAACCATCAGACAGGTATTCCTAAGCAATCTCAGCAGAAGCTGTAATGGGAAAAACTTAATCAGCCACAAAGGGTATCTGTCTGGGCTCATGCTGCAGAATGGCTTGGACCACCAACTAATCATCATGTCCTGCTATTGCAAGTGTCATTCCCATTCCCTGAGTGAGCCCTCCTTGACCCTCAGCCTCATGCTGAGGCTGGTGATGTTGTGGAGAGCAGTGCCATATGCTCTGCACATCTGGATGAGAAAAGCTGCCTGGTTCCCAGCCCAGCACAGCTCCCATAGGCAGGCAATGCAAACTCTGCTGGGACTCTACCTCTGCCCTGGTCAATGCCTGGACAGCAGGGAGCCAACAGTGCCAGAACCTGCACACCATGTGGGTACAGAGAGCAGAGGGGTGACTTCAGGGATTGGTGCACTCCCATTCAGCTGCTGTACAGCACCCCATTACCTTCCCCAAGCAGGGTACATCGGGCTGGATCAACCACTTTATTGAGAATGGCCCCAAAAACTTCATAGCCGCAACACTGCCCTGCCCTCTCGTGGGGGGAGAACTGGATCCTGTCATCCACACTGGGCTGGGTGCTGTAAGCAATGCCGTTGAGCTTTGTCAGACGGCTGGACACCACCCCTTTGGAGATGAGGATCTCCACATCTGAGCCATTCATCAGCAAGTGCTCTGTGAACTCCACGCCTGTCCTCATGTCCAGCAGCAGCTGCTGCAGCTGGGCCTTCTGCAAGTGCAGCAGGTTTTCCTTCTGCACCTTCAAGTCCTCCAGCTGCTTCAGCAGCCGGTCCCGGTGCTCTTCAATCGCTTTCACGTAGCCCCTGGCAAACAGGCAGATCTCTGCGGCCACAGCCTCTGCGCGACTGCGGACAGCGCTGCCCATCTCATCCACCTGGCTCAGCACATCCTCCAGGGTGTCCATGTGCTGCTGGCTGCTCTTCAGCAGCTCCCGCAGGGCGTCCCCGTGCCTGTGGATGACATTGCTGCTGAAGTCACAGGCGTGCTGACGGTGTCTGCCCAGAACGCAGTCCCGGCACACGGGCTGGTCGCACTGCTCGCAGAACAGCTGCAGCTCCTCTGTGGGATGGGAGGGGCACAGGAGAGGCTTCCCGGCCTGGTTGAAATCCTTGGTGTTCTCCAGCTCTGTCACAGCATGGGAGGCCGTTTTCTTCTGTCTCCTAGGCAGGAGCAAACACCAATCACTTTATGCATGTTGGATACAAAACACAAAAATTGAAACCCTTTGCAAATGCCAATTTGCAACGGGCTGCAAGTCGTAGTGTGCACTGCTCCTTCCTGTCTCCACTGAAATTCCCCAAAAGGACTTGTGCCCTCCCAAGAACTAGGCTCCACACAAAGGAGGAGCTCATTAGGGGCTGCTCCCAGAGCCTCCCTGACTGCATGGTCAGCATGGATTTCACACACAGGGCAAGTGAGCTCTAATATCCCTTAGAGGAAAACCTAGTTCAGGCCACTGCCAGAAGACAGTCAAACAGTAAAACATTTAATATTCCAAAAGTCAAACTCGGCTTCCTTCTGGTTGCCAGGTTAGGTCCCGCTCAGAAGAGACCAAGGATGGGAGACAAAGAACCTGTTATAACCTACACATCTACCATGTTACAGGGCAGCACTAGAATATTTCCATTCTCTGCTATTTTGGACAGTGGGAGTTAGTTATTTAGACAGATGTAAACCCCCCCCTCTCCTTTACTTCTCTCCTGCACTAATCACTTGTGGCAGTTGCAATGGGAGCTCCAAGCCATAACCAAAGACATACTCCAAGGACCAAGCTCTGCAGAGTTGCTCTGGTAACACAAAGCAATCTCATCATAGGCTCTTATGCTTCTCCTTTTGCTTCCCAGTAAACTCCTTCAGATCCACCACATTTTCAAAGCCTTCCAGTGTTGCGTGACTTCAGACTAAGAACTCTCTCACTTGTTCCAAGGAGCACAGCCTTGGCACTCAGAACCATAGAAACCTTCCCTACACACCAGGAAATCCTTTCAAAATGGTTATCCTTAGACCTTGTTCTGCTCTGACATCAACTAAAACAAGTGAGAGTCTGTAGATGTCAGTGGGGTGAAAAAATGATAGCAGTAAATACTACAGGAAGAGGGTCACAGGGACAAATTTTCTGCTGCTTTCTTCCTTCTGCAGTTATCCCTGGCAGAGCAGCAGGCTGCTATTCAAGGTCTCTTATCACTCTTCAGCAGCTCCATGGGGCACGAGGCATTAGCTAATCAGAATGGTATGCTGAAAATTACACCCGGAGTGGAAAGGTAACTAAGAGCCTAAACCATTTTCCCCACAGGCACCAGTGTGTGCAGGGGGGCAGGGCAGGGAGGAATATGTCTCAGTTCCTTCTGGGGAAAGAATTTGCTAATCAAGCAGAAAGGAGCAGCAAACATGGAGGGAATAGGCTGAGTTGCTTAACCCAGGCTGAGGCTTCCCTGGCTTGTGCTGCTGGGTGTTTCTTGACCCTGCCTGTCACCTCCTTGCTTCAGAAGGCCATTTAGGCTTTACATCACTTTTCTTCTGTCGTGCTGTCTGTCCTCTGCCTGGCTTACAGGCCACTGCACCCCTCTCCTCTTTGACTCTTAACTCTGCTGCAGTTACTTCTTGTTTCTGCAATAATTCCACAACATGTATCAGGCAAGCACATGGCTTGATCATCAGCAGGTAGCAACTACACTAGGCAGGACTTCCACAGGACTTTCAGTTTGCCTAAGGGCGCCTGTACACATACACACAGTAAATGGTCCTGCAGGTGGAGAGAGGCAGAGCAGCAACTTAAGGCTCCCCTTTTCCTTTGGGAGATGTGTCTTTTCCAAAGTGGGACAGTACAGCATGTGAGGCTCTTGTCCTGCTAGTACCTGCCCATAGCCATGCCTGTTTCCCAGTGACACTAAACTAAGATGCTAACCAGCATGTAAACACCACTACAGGCAAAGGGTGGCTTGATTTTGGACTCAGTGGCCAATAACATGGCTGATGGACCTATTCCCAGGAAGTTCAGGAAGAGTTTGGACAACACTCATGAGATTCCTGAGGCTGTCTTGGGCGAGTACTTGGACTCCACGATCCTTGTGGGTCCGCTTCCAACTCCAGATATTCTATGATTCTATACTAGCAGCCTGCTTGTCCCCACCCGAGTACACAGCATCCCTGCGGACATCCTCTGGGCAGGGCTGGTGAGCGGTGGGTAAAAACCGGGAGACACGCCAATTCTTGCCCTGGCTCGCCCTGCCTGGGTCCCTGCCCGCTGCGCCCTCCCGCCGCCCCCAGCCGCCCCTCACCTGTGCGCCCGGCAGCAGAAGCGGCAGAGGCGGAGGCCGCAGGTCAGGCACCGCCCGGCCGCCGCCCCGTCGGCGCAGAGGTCGCACCCGGCTGCGGCCCGGCCGCGGCTCCGGGCCAGGCAGTCGGGAGGGAGCTGCCCCACGCCGCCGGCCGGCAGCGACAGCTCGGCGTCGCACACCGGGCACAGGACGGGGCGGGCGGCGTCCGGCGGCCCCTCCGGAGGCCCGAGGCGCCGCAGGCAGGGCTCGCACAGCGAGTGCAGGCAGGGCAGCAGCCGCGGCGACACGCAGGGCTGGGCGCACTGCGGGCAGCGCGGTCCCGACATGCCGGCAGTTCCCGCGGACCCTCACGGACGCTCGGCCGAGCATTCCCGCGGGGAACGCCTCGCGCCGCCCCACACCACGGGGTCCTTCCCCGCCCCGGCGCCGCCCGCCCCGTGAGGAGCGCGGGGGCCGCGCTGTGAGGGGCGGGGGCTGCCCGGGGACCTGCTGCTCCCTACCCCGCCGCTCCTCCTCCGGCAAAGGCGGCCGGAGAGGATCGCGCAGCCCCCTTTGTCCTCGTCCCCCTCACCGAGGCGTTCCCCTCCTCCGGCACCTGCGGGGGTGTCTCCGCCGGTTGTGTGGGAAACGGCCCCTTCCCACCCACCTCCGGCAGATCATGTTTCCACTTCTTCCAGTTCCAAACCTCCAGGTTTACCGCCTGACTGGCCTCTGCAGCCTCTTCGTCGGTCTGCTGGATGCCTTCAGACCTTGGTAGTTTTTCCTTCGGATCACTGGAGAACTCGCCCCAGAGCTGAGCGAGAGCGGTGAAACTTTAACCGAGACGGTGCAAGGCGGCCGGGCTCCCCTGCGACTGCCCGCCGGGACGGGCTGCTGGCTGTCCTCATTCACTGCACCTGGGAATTAGGAATACTGCAAAAGGCAGCCTTGGAAAGCCCAACGTCAGTGAAGCCCTGCATGACGCCCCTTGGACTTTGATGGCATCTACACCGTTGTCTTTATCAGTCTGATGTGTAAACTCTTCAAAGACTGAAACCAGCTTTCCTTGTTTTGAAAAAGCTCTCTTCTATAAAGTGTCCTCTACAGTACCACATTCAGCCCTTAAATTTTTTTTGAACTTTTTACCAGCCTCTCCATTAGCTTGCCCAGGACATTGAGTATCTTACCTGTCCCATGCTGCTGGCAGTTTTGAATACAATGTAACGCGAAGAGCATTTGAGACTTCTGGAGTTTCAATTCCCCCAAATCAAAAATCAACAGCCGGGAAGATCTCCAGTCAGGTTTTTGTTTTTAGAACCAGAGAGTCCATTTACAGAGCAGTACATAAATACTTAATATCTGTATATAACACAAGTATTTCCTCTGTAACAGATGTTAATGCCTCTCTGATGCCCAACAGCTTAACACAGAAATCATCTTCTGATACACTCAAAACATTTGTCACTTTTATGTTGTAATACAAGATCAAAGTTTTAGGCCATGATGAAGTGTTTTCAATCTCAAACCCAATCAAAAGAAGAAAGATGTTCCAACAGCCTTCTTCAGTTGACTACTAGCAAGGGCAGTGGTTGCAGAGGTTACAGAGGATAAAAGCTACAGTAATTGTGAGACAAGATTACTTTATAACAATATTCAATATTGTCACAAAGAAAGACTGGTTCTTTTAATCATGCTGGAGGAAAGAATAGTAAATGGCCCTGTAAACGTGGGTGTGGGAAGAAAGCAGGGGAAGAGTCATAATGTCACCTTTGTGCAGAAAAGGTCAGAACAGCATTGTCCTTCACTGCAGAGAGATGGTGGAATAAGCCATGACTGGCAGTGGCAGAGGAAATCTGAGGATCCAGCCCAGCTGATCACCTGCCCTGCCACTGATCAGGTTGGAGCACAGATTGCTGCTGAGTAATGCATTTATGAGTTACCAGTACAAAGCAGGAGCACTCTCGGGATGATTAGAGGAAGTTGTAATGAAATGGGCTGGAGAGAATCATCAAGGGAGTCCTGTGAGACTTGGGGAAAGAAAGGAAAAGAGAAATGCATTAAAAAAATCCCAAAAAACTAACCCAGTGACCCACAAAACAGGAGCTGCATTAGCACAAACTCATGATTCACTTTGGTTACTTTCCCCATAATATTGCTTTCTTGGGTACTGTCAGCCAGGGGAGGAAGTCCCTGTGCCACTACATCCTAAACTGTGGCAGGCAACTCAATGGACATGTCAACTGGAGTTCTGTGAATATCTCCAATTAAGCACATTGGTCTGCAAAGCACTGCAAGAACTTGACTGAGAGACCCTCTCCCATCTCGGATTATTCAGAGATTGCTTTGTAACTTTGTGCTTTTGATCAAAATTATGGATGAAAAATCCAATGTGTTAATTTATATACACTGGAGGGCAATAAAGGAGCATAGTGACATAAATGAAGCAATTAAAATGTCATTAAAATTAAGCCAATGTTTTCCTTTTTCCACAAGAGTTGATGGACAGCTAATTATTCTCATTTGACCCAAGATTTACTTGAAATGAAGTCCTCTTTACACTTGTTTTCCTGCCCCTATTGTTAATGATGTCAATCAGAGCCTCCCAGAGTAGTTGCTCTGAGTGATCTGGTCTTTCCCCTCCTTACTTTCACTGCCAGCTCCTTCCTCTTTTTCCTGTTTATCTGATTCTCATTTCCTATGATTAAGCACTAGATCATTACACAGAGATATGGAATATTTGTTTCCTTCTCCCTTCTCATCAAGGACTTCTGCCCAATATTTCCATTGTATCTCCTAATTAGCCTCTTCTGGGGAAAGCTTTATGCTGCTTTCCTGTTTATATTTTTCTGAATGACTATTGGTAAAACTTTTTATAGCATGTTCAAAAAAATGTCCAAAGTGTAATTTCCATCCTAGACTCTGTGAGAGGTGTGGGTATAGTCCATTTATTAAATTTTGAATGGGATGCCTCATGCTTTCCTGAACCTATTTACTCTGATAATTTTAGGGAGTTGTTTCTGGATATCCTGCCATAAGAAACAAAGAAACTGAAAAAGTGGTGAAACTGAAGTCATTAGTGAACAGGACTGAAGAAAATTCCAAGATGACTTGTTGACAGAAACCTGAGAACTTGTCAAAGTAGCAGAGCTTATCTTAATTGGCAGCCAGAGGAGTGTGGAAAATTACCTATTTGGGGAATTTACAACGAAAAGACAAGTAGAACATACTGTTGGCTTCTTTCCTGTCGACCAAGCCTAGTTTTGCTGTGAATTTGCCAGCCCTGGGAACTACTGTGTTTCAGGGACTTCTCTGAATGTGGCAGAGTTGCCAGTCTTGGTCTAGGAGTACTTGAGGCATCATTACCCAGCTGACAGCTCTTCCCCTATACATCAACCTCATCCAGAAAATCCAACAAAGGATTTACAACCACCTCCCAATTTAGGCAAAACCTCTCCCTCAGTCAGCTAAAGATGCATTTGAAATTATGTGGCAATTGAATGGTGAGAGGAGCATTTCTGTGAGGCACAGATGCTGGTGTCATCCCCAGCCCTCAAATTCTGCATCGAGCCTGATGCCCATGGATTCACTACACTGGGTAAAAAATTTCTTCCTAACATCTAACCTAAATCTCTCCTTTTTCAGTTTAAAACCGTGGATGTTTTAAAAGGAGGTGCCATTAACTTTTACTTGTGCTGGGCCTCAAACACACACAAGTAAATTGCCCCAAGCCTCACATGACAAAATTTCTGCAAACTGATGGCACATGGGGGAATGTGACAGCTGCAGAAGGACAACGCTGATCTCCTGCTTGGGAGCACCACCTGGGACAGAGAGAGGACTTCTGTCCTGGGATGTCCCATTTGATTTTATACAAAGCATTCCTAGGGGAACTCACTCTTCAGAGAAACATCTTCACTACCAAATATCTCCCTTCACACTTTTAAATTTGCCAGTAGCTTTTAGTCTTCAGGCTTGTGTTGAGCTTTGGAGAAACTCAACTAAATCTCAAGTTACCTCATTTAATATAAGCCCATGTATCTTCATTTTCATGCTGGACTCTAAAAGTACATTTCTGTGAGCTGCTGCTGTCACACATCAAACCTGTGCTCCAGCAGGACTTCAGCCACTGCAATGTGACCTGGGAGAGGTGAAGGAGGAAGGCAGCCTAACAGCACACCTGGCAGCCTAAACCTCTGCCACTCACTGACTAACGTAAGGCTCACCATCATCACACATGGACTTGGCTTAACCCTGAAACAGCAAACAGGAAGTGGACAGGGCATGGAGATGTGCTAACACTGGAAAGACAGAAAGCAGCAAAAGATGTGTGGATCTCTCTTGTCCTTTGGATTTGCGACAGGGAACAAGAGTCTGAAGTGGTCAAGCATTATCCCTTTCAGCTGGCAGCAGCTCTTTGAAGACCAAAGCAGCTGCAGCCAAACCACCCAGTGACACAGGATTTGTGCAGACTTGTCCCTGCTTTGGCTTCTGACCAGACATTCCTGCTTTCCCCTCCTCCCTGAAGCTTTCCAGCCACCTGCTGCCACTTTCAGCTTTCTGCTGCTATATATATTCTTTTTAACCTCTCCTGAACCCTGCCTACATTTTCTGAAGGGAAGATGAAACTGGATTTTTTCCAAGGAGGCTTTTCTAAGGAAGCAAGTTCTTTGTGATGTCAGGCTATTAATCTTTTTTTAGCTTCCCTTCAGTCATATTTGAGAGAGGGAAGTGATCTGAAAGGCTCTAAGTTTCTACATGCAAAAGATCACAGTATCATTGAATACTCAAGAGTTGGAAGGGACCCACAAGGATCATTGAATTCCAACTCCTGGGCCTGCACAGGACAGCCCTAAGAACCACACCATGTACCCAAGAATATTGTCCAATCACTTCTTGAGCTCTGCCAGGCTTGGTGCTGTGACCACTTAATACTGATGCTGAGAAGACAAATGGAGTTGGTTTATTTTTATTGCCCTTCACTGCTGGGACAACGAGACAGAAGGATATTACAGTAGGGTATTTCACTTAGATACAGCCAGGAACAAAAACCTGGCCTTGCTGCAGGGCAGTGAGAGCAGGGACTTCACTTAGATGAGACTTAAGGTCTGAGGCCTGACCAAGCATACTTTTATGCATACATGTACACACAAAGAAATATAAAATCTGATTGCCTTCCACAGGTGTGCAGGATGACTAGTTCCCTGCAGGAGCAGATGTCAATCTCATGAGAGTCAGCCTTTTGTTTCAGACAGGTACAGGCCAGCCTGCTTATCAAGCAGCAAAGCTTGAGTTGGTGAGTCAAATTCTTGCAACAGCTGCAGTTTGTTTCTTGGTCTAGAACAGACAAAAAAACAACCCCCGCATAAAACGACACTGCCTCGAGCTTTACTAGCCTTCAGCATTCCAGCAAACACGCTTCCATGACATCCCAGGGGCAGCTCGTTTCTAACCACAGAACACTGTGTGACCCCAGCCTGAACCACAGGAAGGCACAGGCTGTGGAGGA